CATTAACGGGATTTGCCTCACCTTCACTCCTGAGAATAAATATTGCTTGGTTGCTTCCTTTATTTATATACATAATGATATACTTGATTGCGCGGACAGAGCCACATGCTTCTACATTAATGTAGGCATTGAACATTTTACATAGAATTGGCGAATACGGGAAAATCCAGCTGTTATCTAAGGTTTCGAACGCTCCAGAGCGAGTTTTGATTGTAACTTTCCTGCCACCAGCTTCGCGAGCTCTGCGTCTGTATAAAGGGTAGCCATTGTCATTGTGCACTGTTTTTTTTAATAGCTGTTTAGGGAATTTCTTTGTACATTTTCCTTCCTTCATACATGGCGATATTGAATTTCGTGCTGCACATGGACCGTGAATCATATTTTGAACGATGGTACATACAATTCTTTATCTTGCTCAGGATCCGGAATCACGGCGCTTATTATGTCGTCTATTTGGCTGGGCCGCAACTTCTCTTCAAGCCATATTAGAATGTGGGCATGCGGTAATCCTCTTTTTCCATTCAATTGAATACATGAAGCATTGCACCTCTCCGAAAATTTTCCCTTTGTTAATTACATTCATCAGTTTTTGTACTTTTAATCGAAATACCCTAGCAACTAAATCGTGTCTGTCAGTACTTTTTTGGCCCGGCATTAGCTCCTCGCTTATTTCTTTCCATGTGGGATTGCAAGTAAAAGTAATAAAAAGATCAGGTCTTCCGTAAGTTCGTACATAGGCGAATGCGTCTTGTGTGTACTCATGTAGGTAGCGGTGACTGTTAACGAATGATGAGGGCAGAATTACCATTTTACCTAAATCTCTGGGGTTTACATTGGCGTCGCTAAAAACTGCATCTTGTAAATGTATATAATTCTCAACGTGCAGCTTTTTTCGATTTAAAGATATCTAACGGAGATGTTCACTTTCTACCTTCACATACATGTCTACCAAAAATTGATGAAATTATTGTCTACACCGGGCTAAGAGGTTAAAATCATTTTCTCGCAACATCATATGATACGCATAAAAATCCATGCATGATACTTTTTTGTTCGGAGTAGGCTCCTTTGTGACCGGGTTAATGAGTGGAATTTGAAAATGATAACCCTCTTGTCCTTTGCAATAAATCAATGGGTATTGCAGAGCGTCATAAAACTTGTGTGTATCGGCTACCCGTTGCAACGTATCATCACGTGCTTGCAAGACAATGTCTCGTGAAGAAAATTGATCACCACTAATTACAGCTGCCATTTCGTTTATCAAAGGTGCATTGTAGCGCCTTTCATGCTCTCCTGGAGGGTTCCAATCTGCGTGAATGACGACTTTATAATCCTCTTCAGGTAGGTTTTCTAAAGCAGTTTTAAATGTTTTGACTAAAATGTTACGCTCATGCAATAATCTTTGAATTTTGAACACTGTGTCTCTCTCAACTCCCTGGATAAATTGGCGTTTTCAGCTGGAAAAAGTGAACCTATTCTATGATAAATTTGCCCTTGCACCGTAAATGTAGGAGAAAATCCCGGCATTATTATTTCCCGGTCAACTCCGAAGGACGTCATTTGAAAGCATGAGTTATATTTCCGGTTCCTGTTTAAAAAGCGCCGTGACTCTTTAGCATCATATAAAAAGAGAGTTTTCAAAGGTTCTTCTGGTTCCCCAAGTAACGGAAGAGACACTTTGCCATTGGAACAGCACATGCCTGCGGTCTCATCATAGGATGTTACATTGAGCCATACCAAAAAAAAAAACTTTGAAAACTATCGTGAAAATGTAACGTAAGTATTTTTGCTTAAAACTTAGCATTATTATATCGTAGTGAACGACCAGGAAATTAAATTAAAATTAAAGTTTCGGAGTCCGGATAAGGAAGTAAATTAGTTAGGGATGTTAAATTAATAAAGTATTGCTTATGCTTTTTAGGCTTTTACGAGTATATTCCGTTTTTCTTTGTTTTGATAATTTTACCCTTGGATTTTGTTCTCTACTGTGATGAGTTGCGTTTTACATATATAAACTCCACACGGACAAACCTATGGACCCAATACAATAGTTTGTTTTCTATATAAATCTAATATAATATTGAAGAATAATTACAAATATTTATAAATATAACCAGCATTCTGTCGTTTCACAGGGAAGCCCCACACAAAATCATCCTCAAAATTATATCATCGGTTTGGGCTAAGTTATGCCTATAATTATCAAATTACTGAAAATTAATTCAGTTTAAAGTATGGCAGTGTCAGTCTGTAATCATGATGATGATAAATTATTTTGAATTGATTTAGTTCTCGGTCATCGAGTTACTAACGGCTGATTTCGCCCAAATGTCCCAGAGTAAGTTTGAATGATGTGTGAATTAACAAATCGGAAAATTATTTAACTATGTCAACAAACTTGGCATCGAATACTTGTGTTTACGTAAATGGAATTATTTCGGGATTAAACATAGAAATATTACCCACAGTATATTATGACCACAAAATAAAAAACAACTGCGGTTGCCAACCCGCTTTTCAAGCATGGCAACTATAGCAAAATCCCCCCATGAGGCAATCTACGTTGGAGACTTATGTTCAGCAGTCACCCAGAGAGGTAGGGAGAGAATACAGACTTCCATTTGGCACGATCTTGACACACCTCTCTCGCCTCCTTCACATCCATACACCTACGCATACATGCTCGTCGGTTAAGGGTACTCCTAATTTGGCCCCTTTTCAATAAATCGCCAATTTGGTCGATAAATTTTCGCCTAGGACGTCCCTTTCCGACTCTGCCATTCACTTCTGCAACATAAATTTTCTTTGTCACTCTTTCATTATTCATTCTTTCCACATCACCAAACCACCGAAGCATTCCTTTGTTAATCCTGGTCACAACATGCCTTGCAAACCACACTCTTCTCTTATCACACAATTTCTCACCCTGTCATTCAGATTCAGCCCTAACATACTCCTTAAAGACCGCATTTCTACTGCGTTCATTTTACTCTCGTGCTTCTTCTGCTACACCTAACTTTCACTACCATACGTCAAAGTAGGGACCAACACAGCATTGTGAATTGCCGTACGTGCCTTTTTCGACACATTTTGACTCTTCACAATAGTGTGTATGGCCCCATTTACTCTATTTCCTGCATTCACTCGTCGTTCTATATCCTTATCACAACTCCTATCCCTGCTAAATACGCAATCCAGATATACAAACTCATCTACTTGCTCGATGAACTCCCCTTCAATTCTTATTTCACATATCGTCCTACTTTCTTCTCTTTCAAAAACCATAACTTTAGTCTTACTCGCTTTCACTTTCATACCCCTTTCTTTTAATAATCTGTCCATTAATCTAACCATCATTTGCATCTCAGCCGCCGACGACGCAAGAATAACTTGATCATCGGCGTACAAAAGGCATTTGACTGTTAACTCACCCATTCTTAATCCGTATTCTTCAACTTTCAAATTTTGCAAACAACTGTCCATAAATAGGTTGAACAGCCACAGGGAATCCACACAGCCCTGTCTGACACCTTTATGGATGCCAAACCAGTCCGAGTAGATCCCGTTGATCCTAACACAAGCACTAGAGTTCCTATAAAGATACTCCAATGCCTGTATCAAACCAGCGCTCAACCCAAATGAGTTCAGTGTTTGCCATAGCACATCCCTATCCACTCTGTCATTGGCTTTTTCCAAGTCCATGAACGCACAAAAAACCTTTTGGTTTTTGGCCAAAAACTTCTCCGCGATCATGCGCATGGAAAATTCTTGATCTGTACATCCCATTCGCTTTCTAAATCCCGCTTGCACATCCCAAATCCCAAAGTTCCTTAGCATACAGTTATCCCACAATGCTAATAAAGCTGATACCACGGTAGATTTTACAGTCCTGCTGCGACCCTTTTTCTTTATATACTGGGACTGTCACGGCTTTGCACCAGTTTACCGGTACCCGCTTCATTTCCCAGCATAAATTAAACAAGGTGTGCAGCAGGCCTGCCAACACTTTCTCTCCAGCCCTTAGCATTTCGAGTGAAACTCTATCATATCCGGCAGCCTTAATTACTTTCATGCTTTTCATTTCTTTCAGTATTCATCTATTCTTATCTCGCTACCTCTTTCCCCTTTTTTCGGAATTTCTACTTCATTTAGTTTATACGTTGTCTCCTCACTCATAAACACGCTTTCAAAATATTCCTTCCATCTCTTTAAACTCAAAACTTCATTATTCAGAATATAGCCATTCTCGTCCCTTACAGCATTCATTATAGTCTGTTTTGAAAGTCCCTGGCAGTTCTTACGAGTTTCCAGAACATTTTAATATTTGTCTGGAAGTTATCCGATATTCTTCTATCATTCTTATCCGTTCTTTCTTGCTTTTTCCTTTCAACTACTTCTTTTACTCTCTTATTTAGATGTCTAAAAACTGACTTTTTTCTTTCAATATCATCATTCGTAACGCTAGAATTACCGGTCTTTGTTGCTAGTAAATATAGCCATGCTCTCTTCTTTACTTCAACTTCCATACCTCTCATCTACTTATCTTATCATCTCACCATAACGTATTATTTTTCCTTTCATTCTTCTGTTACTAATACCACATACTTCGGTAGCTGCATCCACTAAACCTTTCTTAACATTTTGCCATACATTCTCCAAGTCTAACTCATTCATACATAATTCATCCAAACCACTTATATTTTCTTTCAGTCTACATTTGAGCTTGTTTTTCTCACCTTCCTCTTGTAACCTTTCTGTTCTAATACACTGTAACGCAGTGGTAGACACAGATGACCGATGGCGCCAACACCTGAATAGATCTTTCCAAATATTGTGACACCTATACCCGCGCACGGTCTCATAGACCAAAAGTTCGGAACCCAATTTCTTGGTATTTTTTCAAGAAAACGTATAAGGAAATTACGTTTTCCTAAAACTAGGGAGTATCAGGTTAATAAAAAAAAAAACAATTTGTCGACAGTATATCATTTATTTACTGACTAACAGTCTTTTATTACAGTATCTGGAAAATAATAAGTTTTTCATATGAGCTAATAAAAATGTAACAAAAATATTTTTTTCTTCTTATAATAATAATAATAATAATAATATTCCACAACTATCACACAACGCCATCTAGTCCCAAGCTAAGCAGAGCTTGTGTTATGGGTACTAGACAACTGATAAACATACTTATATATTTCTAAATACATAAATATTATAGATAAATTACACCCAGGCACAGAATGGAGGATCCATAGATCTCTATGGGCCGCAGCAACCACTTACCATCAGGTGGACTGTGTGCTCGTTTGTCACCCTATTCTATAAAAAAAAACAAATGATCGTGCTCATCACATAAACATTTGTCCTGGGTGGGAATCGAACCCACGACCACCGGCATAGCAGTCAGGGTCACTAACCACTAGACCAACAGGCCTGTCAAAAAATAATAAACTAAAACAAACTTTAATCTTAAATATAACAAGTAAATTAACAGTAAACTTACAACTATTTTTAGGCAGAATTCTCGCTATAGCAGTCAGAGCATACCATAAGCGCGTGTTCCATACAAAAATAAATTTTTCATTTTACGCAGTTATAACGTGTCTTACGGTTCTTTTTTTGACGTGCAAAATGCACAACGGCCGATTTTATTGTTATTAGATGTTGCTGCAGACTTAGCACCATCTAATTTACATATTTTATAGAGCCGTAACTTTAGAGTTTTTGGCAATGACGTGTTGGCCACCCGTCTCCTGAGATGCGTATTTATGAGGTCATAGGACGAAGCTTCCAGAAAAGTTCTACGGTTGACTTTCTTATTGGGATTGTTTTGCAGGTATAAAACATATGAATTTATATCCGTTACATTCATCAAACTGTAAAAAATTACCATGGGCCACCTGTTTGTGCTTCGTGCAACGTTATAGGTTTCGCACATTTTGTCCACAGTATCAACTCCACCTTTTGTCGCATTGTAGTCCATTATCAATTCAGATTTACCGGTTTCGACGTCGATTTTAGCATCATCATGCATGTTAAACACAAGTAAAACATTCTTGCCCTTTTTGGGCACATAAGATACAAGCGCGTAAGGTGCCCAAATAAGCTGGATTTTTCTTCTCGGCCTCTTATCTCCGTAAACTGTTTAGGCAGTTCCCTTTAATTTTGCGAAGTGTCAGTCAACTTCTGTGACTCAAGTTTATCTATCAAGGGAATACTGGTAAAGAAATTATCACATGTGATGTTACGGCCAGTATTATAGATACCTTCACTGAGTCGCAAAACCAAAGCCATTGACGAGTTATCAAGTCTATATGCGCCTGCAGGCTGTTGTCCAACGTAAACTTCCATATTTTGGGTATAAAACATTTTGGCATCAGACAGGGCGTAGATTTTTATACCGTAATTATTGGGCTTCGATGGAATATATTGCCTTTTTTTTTTTTTTTTTTTTTGCGGATGGAAAATCATCTAATGACCCCTCTCGCTCTGGGTGGAGCGTAAGGGAGTGTCAGACTTTTACTGACTAAAAACCATCCGTGTTCCTTCAGTGCCCTTACGTTCCGGAGCCGCGGTATCTCTTTCGAATAGCCCGCAGCCCCGGCAGGCGTCGGCCCTTGCGGGCCCCATCACGCTGCTGACAGCTCTTTGAGGCGCGCGTGGAACAAAACGCGCCGTCGACACGGCCTGTCGTCGTTAGACGGACGGACGACGAGCTACCCATTGCTCGCCGTCCACAGGCCCGCGCCTACGGTGGCCGGGGGCCACGACGTAGCCCCCGACGCCCGGGGCGTCTCCCGCGGCGGCCGGGGAGGAAAGCTGCTGTTCTTTCCTTCTCCCGCTCCGCCACCTCCTTCGCTAGCATCACTGCTTCGCAGAAGGTGGTGACGGCATCCCATTTCGTCTCGCTCCGGACCATGGCTTCGACCAGGGCCGGACGCGAGAGATCGCCGCTGCCTATCGCCGCTACGAGGACACGGCGGTGCTCCGCCCAAGCAGGGCACACCTCCACGGTGTGTTCCACCGTGTCCTCCGGTCCATCCTCGCAGTGGGAGCACCCGGGCGTTTCCTCCCGCCCGATTCGGTGCAGGAACCTCCCGAACACACCGTGTCCGGTGAGGACCTGAGTCAGGCGGAAGGTGAGGATGCCGTGGCGTCTCTCAAGCCACTCCTCAAAGAGGGGTCTTATCGCCGCTATAGTGGCGTGCCCAGCACGGGGTTGCGACAGTCGCTCTCTCCATGTCGCCATGAGATCGTGCCGGAAGTCTGTCCGCTGCGCGACAACTTGCCGCGGCAGCGGGGTTTCCCCCCGGCGTAGTGCCTCCGCGCGCCATTCGTGCAGGCGTGCGAGGACTACCGCCTCCAGATCCCATGGCGGCAATCCGGCAAGGAGGCTCGCCGCCTCGCGGGAGATCGTGCGGTAGCCGCGAACCATTTTCACGGCGACCACCCTTTGGGGCGCGTTCAGGTGGTGGACGGCAAGCCGCGCCAAACCACGCGCCCACACCGGGGCCCCGTAAAGGGCCATGGATCGCACGATCCCCGCGTAGAGCCTCCGGCAGGAGGCGTTTGCCCCCCCCCCCAGGTTCGGCAGGAGCCGCCTGAAGGCAGCCCCGGTCCGTTCCAGTTTGGGAGCCAAACGTCGGAAGTGCTCAACGAAGTTCCATCGGCCGTCGAGGACGAGTCCTAGGTACTTCAGCGTCGACTCGACGCCGATGGATACCCCTCCTACCATTACCGAGGATCCCGGTGGTGGCCTGTTCCGAGAACCATTGAAGTGCATGGCCTCGGACTTGTGCAGAGCCACCTCGAGACACAGTTGCCGAATCCTCTCAACGACTATCGCAACCCCGCGTGTCATAGTTTCCGCCGCCGCCTCGTACGACCCCCCCTTGTGCCAGTACCAGCGTGTCGTCAGCGTAGCAAATTACGCTGACGCCGGTAGGGAGGTCGGCGCGCAGCACCCAGTCATAACCGATGTTCCACAGAGGTGGCCCCAGAACCGAACCCTGTGGGACACCGCACGACATCTCTCGCCGGTTCCACTCACCGTTGCGACCGGGGTAGATGACGGCCCTGTCCGTCAGATAGTCCCCGACTATACGACGGAGATAGGTCGGCACCCGGTGATACCGGAGTGCCTCCCTAATGCAGCTCCAGGGCATGGAGTTGAAGGCGTTGGCGATGTCGAGAGACACCGCCAAGACAACCCCCCTCTGGCCACTGCATCCCCCGTCGTGAGGGCTCTCACGCGCATGATGGCGTCCACCGTAGAGCGCCTCTTGCGGAAACCAAACTGGTGTTCCGCAAGATCCGGCCCCGTCCCCGCAAGGTGCTCGGCGAGGCGGTTTGCAATGACTCTTTCAAAGAGCTTGCCCACCTCGTCGAGCAGCACCACGGGCCGGTATGCGGACGGAAGTAGTCCGCAGGGCGCCCCGGCTTCCGAATGAGGACCAGCTTCCCCCGTCTTCCAACGAAGCGGGAATTGGCCTCTCTCCAAGCATGCGCTTAGGAGCCCCTCCAGTCGGGGCCCGAGAGCCTCCGAGGCCAGGACCCAGGCTTTGCCAGGCAAGCCATCGGGTCCTGGGGCGGTATTCCCTGGCCTTGAGCCTACGTACCGCCACTCTCAGGTCTAGCCCTGTCCCTTCCGGGATGTCGTCGTCGTCGTCCTGGTGGTCCGCTTCCGGCACCGCAGGTGGCGGAGCCATAGGCGGGGGCGGATGGGCGGATGTTCCCCTCGCGCAGGGAACAGAGCGCTCACCACGTCCTCCACGAGCTGGGGCCGGAGACTTTGCGTCAGCGGGGGGGCCAGGTGCGGAGTTTATCCCGCACCATCTTGTAAGGGCGCCCCCCACGGATCTCTGTTGAGAGTCTCCAGCATCTCCTCACGGGCCCGATCCCGGGCCCGCAGGACAGCCTCCCGGAGGGCGTTCTTCGCCGCTCTGTATCCCTCGTACAGCTCCGCCTCAATGGCTGCCGCATTCGGTGGACGAATGCGGAGCCTGCGATGCCTGGTGTACAGGTGCCGCGCGGCGACACACGCCTCGCGCAGAGACGTCAGCTCACGCGACCACCAATACACCTGACGCCGGGCGCTTCCTGGCCGGACGCGGGGCATTGCCACGTCACATATCTCGGACATGGCCTCCTGGAACCACCCTGCCTCATCATTGACGTCGGCAGGCCTGTCCGGTGATGACACCCAGGCCTGCACGATCGAGGCTTCCAGGAGGAGCTCCCGGTCCAGCTGCTTCAGCGCCCAACGCGGACCACTCGGGGCCTGTTGGACTGGCGCGCTCGAGGGCTGGGTGGAGACATCAAACCGGATGTACCGGTGGTCAGAGTAGGTCTCCACCCCCCTCCATGACACGCCAGTCAATGGCACGCGGCGACAGAGCGGGGCTAGCGAACGAGATGTCCACCACCGACTCCCCCCGCATCCGCACACACGTGGGGACAGAACCCCGATTTAGGACGACCAGGCCTGTCTCCAGAGCCCAGTCTTCCACCATCCTACCCCGCACATCTGTACAACGAGAACCCCAAGCCAAGTTCTTGGCATTGAAGTCCCCGAGGACAAGTACGGGGAGGGGATAACTTCCGACGACGACTGCTCTCAGCTCTGCAAGAGAGTTGTGGAGCTCGGCGAGAGATCGGTTCGGGGGAGAAGTACACCCCCACAACGACGAACTCCCCGAACCGTGCTGCTACGCACCCCTGACCCCTCCTGACACCTTCAAGGGTCGGGGTACCGGCGGCGGCCGAAGAGATGATGGCCACTGAGCCGTTAAGGTCCGCCACCCAGTCCTCCCTAGGCCAGACAAAATACGGCTCAGCGACCACAGCGATGTTAATAGACCACTGCGCCATGCTCTGGAGCAACAGATCCTGAGCGCAGGCGCAGTGGTTGATATTCGCCTGAAGGAAGCTTAATGGGGCCGTTATAGGCATTCCATTTCAGCTTCCTCCACGGGGGGCCCCTCTGCGGGCGTCGGTGTCGCGGCGGCGGCGGCGGCGACAGTGACAGCGGTGGCGGTGGCAGTTGCGGCTGCGGCGGAGGCCACAGAGGCGGTGGCGGCTTTGGCCCTACCCTGCCCGCGGCCTTGGCCTTGGCGGGTGGCACGCAAGCCTTGCTTCCGGCCCGGTGATCGGCTGGCTTGCCGGTCGCCGCACACGCATCACAGTGCGGCGTGGCGCAGCAGGTTGCCGATATGTGTCCGGGCTGACAGCAGCGGAAGCACAGGCGACTGCGGTCAACCTCCGAGGCGCATCTCACTGATACGTGGTGCCCCACGAGACAGCGATAGCACCTCAGAGGTCTGGGCTCCAGCAGCTTAACCTGCGCTGAGATCCAGCTCACCAGCAGCCTTCGGCCCTCCACTATGGTTTTGGCCGCCGTAACAGGGCAGCACACCGTGGCGGCATGCATGCCCTGTTGGTCCGGGCGTATGGCGCCTGACCTGACCTGGTCAGTAGTGCACCCCCGGACCTGGCGACGGCGGCCGCCAACTCCTCCTCCGATACCGAGTCGTCCAGACCCATGATGCGCAGGCCTGCGCATCTGACGGCCCTGGACACCCGGGCCTCTTCCGCGTCCAGAGACGCTCTGAGCTTCGCAGCCAGAGCGTCCGCGGTCGCGCCACTGGATTCCCCCGGGGACCTCTAGCATACGGGCCCCCGTCTGGGATGGAATATATTGCCTAAAGTTACAACGACCTCTAAATGCTTCTAGTTTTTCGTCAATTGTGACGAACTGAGACAAACTGTAATAAACTTTAAATACAGCTATAATTTCTTCAAAAAGCTCTCTGATGAGTGCTAGTTTATCAACAGAAGCACGTACAACTCGTGTGTCTTTGTCGTCAAACCTAAGACACCGTAACAGTAAACAAAAACGGTTCCAGGACATGGTCAATCGAAATATCTCTGGTAACAAGCCATCAGTCTTGAATAAATCTTTAGCATTCAGTCGACAATTTTCTCTAACGCCAGCAAAGAGTAAGAGACCTAAGAGTGCTTCAAGTTCTATCTCATTTGTTTCAGTACAGTCTCTTTCTCTTATAAATTGAGATGAAATTCGTTTTATTTGTTCGTTAGTGTACTTTGCCATCCGACCATTAACATCCTCCGTGAAAAATAACCTCCATATCTCACTGGGTTCTTTCAAATACTTAGCTCCACCTTTAGTACCTGGAAGTTGAGTAACGATGTTCCTAGCACGTCTTCTTACTGGATTTGACGCGGGAGTTTTGTTCCACCTCGTGTGACGGTCTTTTCTGAGGTAATAATTTATATATGTTTGATGATCTTCCGACTCCACTTGAGAATTGCTCTCCTCTGCAGATTGATCCTCTTGCTCATGCTCAGAATTATCCTCTTGCTCGCTATTGTAGTTATCTTCTTGTATTTCAACAAAATCCTCTACCTCATTATCGTTTTCATCTTCATAGTTAGAATCAGAATTTTCTTCTTCCAACATCAATCTGATTTGATTTTCGTCCATCTTGACGCAAAATATTACCTAAAAATAATAAACAATGCTTATCCATAACATAATGATACAAAAACTATAAATAACAAGCGAATTTTATAAGAATAATAGAAGTTATTACTTACACTAAAAATTTATCCTATATCCGCGTCGATCCCACAGTCCAATTGGCGCCAAAAAACGACCACACGTGCTGCTCGCACGAACGCACTGTGCACATTGGAAGGAATGTAGCTACGAATCAAGCAGCTAGCAGAAAGCACAAAATGTCGGCATTGATGTATAAAGAAAAAAACGCAAAAGAGTGTTTTGTCGGTCTCACAGACCAACGCGCGGGTATAGGAAGGTTAATTCGGCATTAAAACCAAATAATGATCCGTTCGTACGTTAGACCCCCGGTAAACCCTTGTATCTACTACTGCCCCCCTCATTCTTTCATTCACAATTATGAAATCTATCATGTTTCTATCATCACCTTATTCCCAAGTATACATGTGAATACTCTTGTGGCGATAGCAAGTGTTCGTCACAAAAAGATTCATACAGAATCTGCAAAGACTGATTTCGTTTGACCACTTCAGCGAGAGTGTCAGATTAAAGCGTATAGAGGGACAAATAAACAATATTTCAAAGAAGGGGACAGTGTTCTTTATAAAAAAAATTATGTGAATAAACGCTTCGTATGGGAAAGAGGCACTGTAATAAAAAAAAATTGGTAAAACAATATATTTTATCAAAGACTTTGTAAGTTCTTTAGTGTTTAAAAAGCACAAAAATCAATTAATGCCCTATATGGGAACAAAAGTTAACAACAACTACGACAGCTCCAGTTCTGTCAAAATATCTGACATTACACCAGATATTACTAACACAGACCCAAGTTCTACAAACGTGTCGGCACAACCAGCGCCCTCTGACGATGAAGACGCCCAGAAGACCCAAAATATGGAAGGGGAAAGAGGATGTCATCAGTCTCCATCATCCACTGAATTACAATCGACGGAAAGCGTGCCACCATCCCATTCTCGTCGCCACTGTTAAATATGCGAACGGGACAAGTGAAACTATGCTTAGTTGAATACGCACTGCCCTTTATTCGAATGTACCTATTATTGTAAGATGGTCGCAGCCTACACTATACCTACATATCTACGTATACATAACAATAATAATAATATCTCTCCCTGCAAATTATTCAGTGCATTTCTGTAGTCGTTAGATAAAGACAACAAGTTTAAACGAGAAAAGTTGGTGAGAGTCGACAAACAAGCGGAATTGGCGCTTTAAACGCCCTTTGATTCCGGACAACTAAGTACTGAGACGCTAATTTGTTATAAGAAATTAAATTTGAGAGTTAAATGTAAAGGTTTTCATTTTGATTAAACTATTGCAGTAAAATCCACAGTACGCAAGCAACCCATGTTCGAGGCTTATAGGAACCAATTAAATTTTTAATTGAACGACTACGTAATCGGTGGCTATGGAAAACATCCATATGTGAAGACACCCGCTTGTTTGAAAAGTTCTGACGATGGCAAATGTTTCCCCTATGAGACAATCTATGGAGAATGTTTAGCGGTGGATTTTGGCGGCTGGCAATTATTGAAAAATAAAAAAATTAAATCTATTTGATTTAATCTTTGCCTTTACCGAGCATCATAGTTGTAGTAATTATTCTGATATTTCTAATAGTGTTATCAGAATAATTATTACAACGATTATAGTGATAGTGATATGGTTTTACCGTAACATGATATAATTAAAACTTAGGAAGTCAGTTAAAGCCATCAAAAACGTTGTACAAACTTTATATTGTCATTTATACTTTGTAATCCTATTAAAGTTGCGGTTTTTCGTTAAATCTGGCAACGCTGCTAAGCGGTGAACTTTGTATGAGGTACATAGCTGACAACGAAAACGATAATGGTAACGTTATCGTTACAGTAACCGGTAATCAATCAGGAGATGGACAGCGGCGTATTCCATAACGGCTAAAAATAAAAAATCTTTGGTTGCCAACCCGCTTGCCAAGCGTAGCAACTATGGTAATATCCCCCCTATGAGGCAATCAACGGGGGAGGCCTATGTTCAGCAGTGGACTTATAGGCAGATAAATAGATGGAATGGAGTGTCAATATTGCACTCTCAGTGAAGAGCTGAGCATCAAGTAATTTTAGATATCCACTGAGATGTCACTCAAGCAGAATTAATGAGATATAGGCCTGTTCCCTTTGTTGGAGACATCTCCAGTTTTATTTTTTATTTTAGGCACAACTATTAATTCTCATCAGATTCTCAGGGAGATATGAGTGTCTAACATAAAGTAGCTAGCAGCACGGAGAGATGCAGTCCTGCGTGCAGAAGATACTCCATGCTAAGGCTATCGTGCACTAGCGATTTGCTCCTCGTCATGCAATTACGAGGACTGTTATACTTACTCTATTTAAAAAAATACTTGTAGATGGTAAGGTGCACTGGCTTAACTTAACAAGAACCTATTCAATTTCCTTTTGGGCCCACGCTGTAATCCGATGGGAGGATAGACGCTGGCAAATTATTCTATTCCAAAACTGTGCGTATGAAGAATTATGAAAAAAGGGGAGGGGAAGGATTTAAGTTTTGTAGTACCTGCGAACACTTCAAAATGTATCCCGTAAAATACGAAAAGTCTGATTACTCTGCACCTGTGCGTAAGTCTTGTGTAATAATATAATTAGTACTCCAGCTAATGAGAGGATGCCCTGCTTGACAAAACGAGGATGCAAAGGAGACTTAATTCTTAATGGTTGTTTGATCTATGTGCTATATGATCGGCATATTGCTATATCAGTTTAGTTAAGATCCTAAATATTTGTTGGAAAGTGGAAAGCTCTAGAGGATAAAGAAAATATTATTTGTAATTTGCCAAAATAATTTGGTCAAATATTTAAATTTATAATGAATTGGTTATTTGTTGGCATCTATTAAAGATTACCGTTTACTAACATAAATTAAGTTGCGGGATCTGTTTATATATAAATAATACCTTTATTGTGATTGAATAATGAGAATTTATTTACTACAAACGAACTACAAATATAATTTGACTGCCGGTAAACGAAATAGGCTCTGGTTATGTACAATCAATTTCAGTGAAACAATTGGAAGTGTCACACAAACAATAGGAACAGTTTTTAAGAAAATTCTAAATATAATCGTTCAACAAATATTAAATAGCTTTTACATATTTTCTTTCCACTTAATTATTATCGACTATAACTGTCAAAATTTTTGTTTTATGAAATAATATTAACATAAGTAACATTTAAATAAAACGAGTTAAAACGAGTAAATAAAACGAATTATATCGCGTATATAAAGTTATATTATATTCCGGACGTTTCTAGAACTTTACGACACCTATGCCCACGGGGGGGGGAATGACTGAGGTGTACGACGTCCCAATGTCATAGTTAACCACGGCTCTCCAAATTATAATTATTAATAAATTGAATCTTGAAGTCTTGCATTGGTATACTTTGGTTTGGATTTGATTTTATTAATAACAGGTACACAGCTTCTTTTTCGCTGGGTTCTTTTTGGCTGGCTTTCCACGGTTCAGCCATTGCTACAAGCGCTTCCGATTGTCATACAGTATCCACTTTTTTATCACAAGTAATGATTCGATTTAAAATCCCTTCATTTTCGTGTCGGTTGAGCAAAGTAACACAACAGTCGACGCGTGTTTGCAAGTTCGATTCACTCAATTCATGAGGTACCCATCGTTCAAGTTTTTTTTTACTTCTCCGATGTGATTCAAGTGGATTAATACACATTTACATTTTTATCACTTACTCCGAAGCCTACAGTGCCAAATCCTGCCCTAAACGAAAATTGACTCAGAAAAAGTTAGGTATTTGTCAGTGTTCGATGGACTAGCGCTGGAGTCGTTCACTACAGCTTTCTAATATCTGGCCAAATGATTACGACAGATATCTATTATCAGCAACTGCAAACCATGAAGGAAGAACTTGCTGCTAAACAACCGAGATTGGTCAATCGCTCTAGGCCACTGCTGCTTCACGACAACAAAAGACCACACACTGCACAACAAACAACCACTAAGTTAGATGTGCTACAATTGGAAAATCTGCGACATCCACCATACTCCCCGGACTTTGCTCCAACAGATTATCATTTTTTCCGGAATTTGGACAACTTCTTACAGGGAAAAAAATTCAACTCCGATGCGGCGGTCCAAACCGCCTTGAAAGAGTTTATTGATTCTCGCCCCCATGGTTTTTTTTAGGTAAAGGAATTAATGAACTACCTATGAGATAGCAAAAGGGCATAAATGACAACGCTGCATACTTTGATTAATTATAATATATATTTTACAAAAAAAAATTGAACTTATATTCCTCCCGCACAAAACGCCAATTTCATATGTAAGGACCTTTGATATATATATATATATATATCAAACTTCCTGGAGCGTTTGCGCTTCGCGTTTCCTTACGATTTGCGATTCCTTGCACAGATAATTCGTGAGTATATTTAATTTTAAGAAAACATTCTTATTTTAATAAAGAAGAAAGCTGTGTACCTGTTATTAATAAAATCAAATCCAAACCAAAGTATACCAATGCAAGACTTCAAGATTCAATTTATTAATAATTATAATTTGGAGAGCCGTGGTTAACTATGACATTGGGACGTCGTACACCTCAGTCATTCCCCCCCCCCCCGTGGGCATAGGTGTCGTAAAGTTCTAGAAACGTCCGGAATATAATATAACTTTATATACGCGATATAATTCGTTTTATTTACTCGTTTTAACTCGTTTTATTTAAATGTTACTTATGTTAATATTAATTCATAAAACAAAAATTTTGACAGTTATAGTCGATAATAATTAAGTGGAAAGAAAATATGTAAAAGCTATTTAATATTTGTTGAACGATTATATTTAGAATTTCAAGAGAAAACAGCGCAAGTGTAAATAATATTTTAATTTTTAAATACAAATAATA